TAAATAGAGTATAAATCGCATACATATTTTCATTAAAACTAATGACTTAATTTAGTGAGTAACATTTCTATTTTTAGAAAAGAGTAACGTTTGCATAAATGTTCAAGACTGAAGGTGATCTTAAAAAGTTTTTCAAAAAACAAACATTAATAAAAACTACTTAATTCAGAAAATATTACCTTCAGAATACATAAAACTTCTCATTTAAACTGTTAGTGAACCTTCTAGTGATAATAAGTCCGAATGACGCTGGATATTGCTGACCAATGAAATGAACAATGAAATTAGTGGCCATTTTGGTTTCCACAGAATTTAAACTGAATTTGAACTCCTGGTTCCTGATTATTATTACTATTATTATAATATTATTATTCCCTTGGGTTCTGTGTGAAACGAAGGGCTTCAACAACACATCTACACTTTCTTTTATTTTCTGAAGTCCTCTTCAGATGGGTGGGTCAACGATTGCCAATAATGTCTCATCTCCTCCTCCCTAATACATGGGCAAAGTTAAACTTTCGACACCAGTAGCAACCAATCAGCAAACGACCTTGAACGGACCAATCACATGAAAGAGGCATTTATGATAAGCGGAAACGTATATTTATAGAAAACTGCATAAACAGAATGATAAAACGGTTACAATGGGTATCTTTCCTGAACATGGGAGAGAAACATTTCCCAATTCAGCATGGGACTGTTAATAGAGAAGTCACACGACATTCTATACATATACTCATAAGTGAGATTCTTTTGAGATCCATTTATAGTTCTTATTCTATTTGTCAATGCACCCCAAAATCCTTCAATGTCTGCTATTCTTTCAACAAATCCTTTTAGGAGGGATGTGCAGTATATCTGAAAAAAAATCTGTATAAACCTATGACCCAAATGTTGTTCGCTCTCTGACGACCACGGTTATATTTCTTCCTCACACTGTCTCATCCACATGGACTACTACGTCGTCCCCGCCTAACAACGAAGTAATCCTATCCATATTCCATGAGGCGATGTTTCTGCAGTGCTGGTACCACTGAACTGTTGAGACTGTTCTCCATCTCGGCAGCAGCGGCTCTCACGGGCTGTTTCAGTACCCAGTAATTGCAAATATACAAAATCTGGGTTAGGGAGAGATGCGACCTAGCAAAAAAAGTTCCAACGAAATATTACCCTCTCTTATACTAACTTGCTTCCACAGCGATTTACAAATCATCAGTTGACCTAGTATAGCTGTTTAGAGTCATTACACCACCACGCCTCCAAAGCCTCAGGATGGTCGGGGGTGGGTGCCTTGCTCTGCGGGTTGGCCACCCCTCCGCACACCTCTTGAAATGCTCCCATATGACCGGGCGTATCACATAGCCTCTCCTGAGGAAGTCCTACTCACTGCCTTCACGTGGCGGAGGTGTTTTTCACCAAAGTGAGAGGGCGAAAGCGGATGCCCGGCGCTGTTCACCGGGTTGACTGTCCATTGGATGACGGTCTAGGGGAGATGGCTAAACCCAGATTCCAAACCTCCAACGACTGGCGTATGAAGCTCACTGGAGCTCACCGGAAGACGTATGGACAAAGGGCTTGTGGATGTCCTGGATGTCTGGCCCCATTCAAAAAGGCGTATGAACCGAACTCGGTCATCGGCTGCCAATGGATAGTGGACTCCCTACTCCACTCCTACTGCCTTGTAGGTCACACTTGGTTGTGTAAAGGCTAGAGCTGCACTCTCAAACAAAAGGCCGAGCGATTCTGGGGACATCACTCGTACCAAATTCCCATGAAACTCCATGAACTCAGTTCATGAAGCCGGCTCATCCTCCCGTAGGAGATAGCCGAAGTGAAGATGAAGAAGATCACATGAACAACTCTCCTTTCGAAGCAAGCCTAAGTCCAGGCAATATGGAAAGACACTATCCTCCTCGAATTGCAAACGTAACCTTTTAAGGGCACGCATTTGAAATGAATCAAGCGCTATACAACATTGAACTACGTTCGTGAACCTCATTGGATAATTCGACGTCGTTCGCTGATTGGTAGTTACTGGTGTCTAAAGTTTAACTTGGCCGTGATGGGCTGCACTTCACGCGTTGTCATTCGACGGCCTCCTCAGTGGCGTTTGCACGATCCTTCTCCATTTTCTCCTATATATTTGTTGAGCGATCGGTTCTTGGTTGGTTCGTTCATTTCCATAGTTTCTTGTAGCTAATTCTTTCTGACTGGCCATTTGATCTTCATTATGGAGCCAGCGAAGGTGGCAGCTGTTGATAAAAGTCTGCTGTGGCCTGTTGCAGTTGCTTTTCGTAACTCACGTACAGTGCAAGTTTCTGACACTTATAGAAGAAGTGACTGACTGATTTGACATTGGTGTAGAAAATCATAATCTTGTTTCTCATGCTAACTGAGTGAAGCAGACGATTTCTCAACTGCTTCTTGCCTCTCCGATTCTGTCTGACTCTGACGTCTTCATCCGTGCTGTGTAGACTGCCTGTGGCTTAAGTGAAGAAAGTAACATTCGTCAAGTTTCTCCCGTTGATAGTGATTGATGCTGTTTGTTGTTGCTGTTGCGGTTGGTGGTAGTTGCTTATTTCCATCACCTACATCTTCTTTATGTTCACATGGAGTCAGTACTGGTTTCTCTGCACTGCTTATTCAGCCAGTTTGTTGGTTTTCTCCTGCCTGAAAGTCTTCGAGTTTGCGTAACATTACACATATATTAGATACCAAATTACTGCTGGCATTTATTGTTATACGTTTGCCGATAAAATTTGTGCATACTCTAACCACTGAAATTGAATTTTACGCAACATCACAAGTGACAACTTAATCTGATAACAAAAATTTTAACCAAAAAATATTTAAGCTTAGAGAGCAACGCAAATAGTATTAACTAAAACAAGTTCATTTAATACACCGGAAAGATGTTCCTTATGCAACATTTCGAAGAGGCGAATTTTTCCTGTATTGAGTCTGTGCTCATATTTTCATTTTTGGGTTTTGATTTCATGGGATTTCATACAATGGGATGTCATGAGCACGTGGTGCTGAGGAGTTCGAACAAAAGGACAAAACAGCTGCTCTACGGTTTCGAGTTGTCGTTTCATAATCAAGCCTGGAAGCAATCGAATTCGTGAAAACGAGCACTTGAAAGTTAACTCCAATGATGAGTCTCCATTGAGTTGTAGACTAAAGGGGAGATGTTTTTCAGGAGTAGAATGTGTGGGCGGTTTTAAAGGTTTACGCCTCATGGATTCCATGATGACACGTTCAAGTTGTTTTTGATTGCACACTAGTCAGTCACTAGTGTAATGCGTCTAGTCCTATCTTCGGTGCAGACTGAATTCTATCAGTCATGTTTGCAATGTGGCCACCATGCTAGGTGGCTCGCCATTACGGTGCACTGTGAATTGTTGGTATTAGATGGTTGGAGGCAATCGGCAGGAAGCCTTGGACCTAGGTTTCGTGCTAGTTGGCACTCATCAGCAAGGCGTATCTGCAAACTTGAAGGAACTGATGTCCCCTCTGAGATTCGAACCCGCGTCACCCAGTGCTGCAGTCAGAGACGTTACCACTGAGCTATTCAGGCTCGCGACTGACCTCCTGTAGGACTGCATTGGATATTTTTGAGTGCACACTAGCCAGTCACTAGTGTAATGCGTCTAGTCCTATCTTCGGTGCAGACTGAATTCCTGGCTTCCTGCCGATTGCCTCCAACCATCTAATACCAACAATTCACAGTGCACCGTAATGGCGAGCCACCTAGCATGGTGGCCACATTGCAAACATGACTGATAGAATTCAGTCTGCACCGAAGATAGGACTAGACACATTACTCTAGTTACTGAATAGTGTGCACTCAAAAATATCCAATACAGTCCTACAGGAGGTCAGTCGCGAGCCTGAATAGCTCAGTGGTAACGTCTCTGACTGCAGCACTGGGTGACGCGGGTTCGAATCTCAGAGGGGACATCAGTTCCTTCAAGTTTGCAGATACGCCTTGCTGATGAGTGCCAACTAGCACGAAACCTAGGTCCAAGGCTTCCTGCCGATTGCCTCCAACCATCTAATACGTCCAAGTTGCTTTAACTTAACAGCATTTAACTATCTGCTTATTCTGATTATGATAGTGCCCAGTTGACTAAAACTACTGGGGTCGGATTTGTCCGTCTGTCTAGATTCAACATAGAACTTGGCACCGAAGTGCAGCAGTTCGAATCGCCACATTCCAAATAGCACACAAAGGTAGACAGGAAAATGAGTGAAGAGAATCAATAGAGTTTTGACAAGTATAAGACTGAAACAGAATGAGTAATGGTAGAAAGGAATATGAAAAATCACAGAAACTGAATACATCTGCGAAAGCCATTGACAACGATTTTGAGCCATGTCACCTATTGTCTCCAGCCACCATTGATTCTTAGAGTCCCGAGGGCCCCAACCCGGAAGTCTGCATCTCCCACTCTACCTGACTCAGTTTAACTGTCAAGGGTTTCATGGATTGATGAGGCCATGTTTTTGTTTGGCCACCACCTACTCTTTTCCAACCTGCACCTATATCAGCTAGTAATGCCCGTCCGTCGGAGGAGGCGATGGTTAGTCATGCGCAGCACGTGACCTAGCCATCTCAATCTATGTAACTTTATGGCCTCTTCGATTGATTTTCCCTCTTTGCCCAACACTCTACGCCTAACGTCAACATTGCTTACCTTATTATACCACCTAACGTGAGAAAGAGATCGTAGACATCTATGATCAAAAACAGTCAACCTTTTCATGTCTTCAACTCGTATTGGCCATGTTTCAGAGCCATAGAGAACGACGGAGCGAACTGCTGAGCAGTATACACGTCCCTTGGTTGACAGCCGGATGTCACGCCTACGCGAGAGATGGTATAAGTTAGCGAAAGCAGCCCGAGCTGTTCTCTAATTGATCCAACTATAGTTAAATATATTTTGTTTTATTCACTATATTTCTACCTGTTACATCTTCTATTTGTTTTTTCTCTCCAGTTCAATGCATTATTAATACGTCCTGATACACCGGAACGATTTGATATGATCCATGTGGAAATATCAGAGGAGAGTGAGACAACACTAACTGACTTCAAAACTCAATTAGAAGATAAGATACCTGATGTTGCTGTGAAAATATTTTGAAAAAGATAATACCGGACGGAAGATGGAAGATACAATCAGACAGTTGAGGGAAGTGTCTATTGAATTTATTACAAACAATGACTACTATTATTCTATATTGTTGTCATCACCATTGTGATCATTGTGTAAACATAAAATTTTAACAAATAAAAATTATTATTACTAATATAAGTAATGTGCGGCTAATTATTATTATTTTTGATTGGATACTAGTCAGTAACTAGTGTAATCTGTGTGTGAGTGTGTCTAATCCTCCTATCTTTGGTGCAGACTGAATTGTATCAGTCAAGTTTGCAATGTGGCCGTCATGCCACTAAGTGGCTCGCCATCCCGGTGCATTTTGAACTGTTGATATTAGATGGTTGGAGGCAATCGGCCACAGGAAGCCTTGGACACCACCTAGGTTTCGTGCTAGTTGGCACTCACCAGTTAGTTAGCAAGGCGTATCTGCAATTCATGTCCCTTCTAGGATTCGAATCTGTGCCACTGCGTGCTGCAGTCACAAACGTTATTCTTGTTGTTTCCTGGGGTTCCGAGAGAACGTAGGGCTTCCCCAGTACATCGGCATTTTACTCTGTCACCTGGAGTCACCTTCAATTGGTTCCATAATTGAATCACTAGTAAAAGAAAATTCACATCCGAATCAGAAAGTGAACAAGGAGAATTAGCTATCACGTTAGATTGTAAAATAAAACGAATAGAAGAAGGTAAACTGCACACAAGCGTTTATAAAAATCCAAAGCATTCTGCTAATAGATATTTAGACTTTAATTCATCTCATCCGTTATCTGTGAAGTTAAGCTTCGTTAAGTGTCTAACTAACGGAGCAATAGCACTAAGTAGTACAACAAAAAACCTAAATGATGAAATGAAACAGTTGTAAGAAGAAGCGTTGATGTTACATAACTAACTATCCTAAAAAATTCATCAAGAAGATCAGAAAAGGTCGAAAGCAGAATAAAAATAATTGTGAAACTAAAAATGATAACACAAATAAGAGAGAATATAAGGCATCTACAGTGTCACCATATAAGGAGGGGCCATCTGATGCCCTACGTAGTAGGATTCTTAATAAAGCAGGAATTAGGCTGGTGGCATTCAAACCTACAAACTCACTCAGGTAGGACAAGTTCTTTAGACTAAACGCTCTGGTGGACCCAGTTGGACAAAATGATATAATTTACAAAATACCTTGCAATGACAGTGAATTTAATCAACTACGTAGGTCACACCAGAAGTAGATCGGGAGTAGTCAGATTGGCAGAACATAAGAATTTGGTGGATACGGTTAGAATGATTGATCCCAATAAGACAGATTAGCAATTTGGAAAAAAACTGAGCAATTGCACTGCATGCATTAACACACAAACATGCGATATGGTGGGAGAGGCTTAAATTCTAAAAAGTAATATAGGTCGGTGGAGAGCGAGAGAGGGGAGTTGATTATTGGATCTTTGTTCATCTAATCTACATCTAACACGTACAATAGGAGTAACTCAACTGAGAAACTCAACAACTGACTGGCATTCTATGCTCTTTTCTACGATAATACATTCAGAACGTCTTTTTATTCTCTCGTGGTTAATGCTTGATATTTTAAATTCGAGTAGAAATAAGCTTGATTTGGCGTCAGTTCTTGCAAAGGATTGAGTTGTCCTTCTGTGTTATACGGTAATATTTGCTGATGACGTTTCGAGCACAATTTATCGGTCGTAATCTTATCAAGTCACCCTTCTTTGGTACTGTGACAAGGTAGCCATTCTTACGATCCGCAGGTAAATTGCCGTCCACAGCTTTAACCGTATTGATGTGAAGACATCCTCTGGGATCTCTGTATGCGCTTCTAGTGCTTCTGACAGAATATCGTCCGGTCTTATGTACAGCTTTCTGGTTATGATTAATTATATTAATGCTCATTTTAGCCGCAATATAGAACTCCACTGAAAATCAACCAGATGACAAAAAAATTAGAGGGCTTTCTAGAACAGTCATCATTAACAATGTTGGTGCTTCTTTTAAATACTATCGATTTGTTAAGATCACAGTGGAATTACAATTCAAGAAAGACGATTAAGTTATAATAAGCATACAAATGTAATAGTAAATAGAATATCAAATAAAATTCAGGAAATCTCTAAAACAAATTAAGGATCATTAAAACCTTGATGACCAAGGGGCCAAGGAAAGCGTCTGAACCAACCAACTTCTTTTGGATACATAAGTTAGGCTTCTTAATCAAGGTGGATTCCAACAGCCAGCCTCAGCAATGTGTAGCAGCGAACTCTTGAGGTAAAATTAAGCTTAGTTAGTATACGTAGATGATTTCGAAAGCCGCCTTGTTTACACCAATTTTGTGTTCTGTATATGTGAGGTTAGATAGTATAGAAGTATGAGAATGGATTTTGTTTCTCCCTTACTTAACCGCAATGCAAGATGGTGTTCGGAAATCTGATCAAAAACACGCCTCATTGTACGGCTTATGCGGTTAACTGGCTGCATAAAAGCAATCGAATTGACAGATATGGGACCAGAGCTGTCTGCTAGCCGAAATATCAGATACCAATTTACGTCAGTGTTTACATCCCAAATCGGGGTCATGAGAGAAAACAAGAACAAAGCTTAACCTTGAGGAACTCAACAACCAATCACAGCAGAATTAGCGTGAGCGGATACGATTCGCATATATATCACCGGACAGTCTAAGAAACAGAAACAAAGAGAAGAGAGAATAACCTTCAGCAGAAAAACAACTAATCAGAAGACGTTGCTTCTCTGCTAAAAATAACGAATAATAATGTACATAAAAATCTAGAAATATATGTTTTTTTTCTCAATAAACGATCTGTTTCCTGGCCCTTGTCTTCTGTCGTTACAGATACCCATCGAAAGAAGAGGAGAAATTAGGTAGTTTATCTTTAACTCCCGCAAGCAAAATAGTAGGTAGTTTTGAAGACACAGAATAATTCAACACCACTGAATGCTCTTTGTTTTACCGCCATATTCCCTAGACATTGTTTTAATGTCTCACTGGTGTTATCACCAAAGAACTGGAGTTGTAAGAACAAGGCCTTTCCTCCTCAGAAGTGCTGATTGGTACTTTGGCCTGTCTTAACTTGTAATTCATATTCTTATCAATGAATTTTCTTAGGTGAAACCGTTCTCAATCAGCAACTGTTTATTAATATTAAGCTCTTCATTAAGACATTCATCAGAGCAGATTGCTATTGCTCTGTGGACAGCTAACGGAGAGATAATTCCCCTGTAGAAAAAAGTCGGTCCAATTAAGCGAAGAAATATTTACAATCTTTTTAATTAAATCCTTTCCGACAGATTTACATCAAAATTACAAGTTTTAAAGAAATCATATGATAATGCCATTGTAGTGATGTTAGTTTATTTACTTAAAGGTTACAGTGGAATGGTATTTGTTCAAGGAATTAACAGCTGAAGAAATTGCAAAGACCACTACTTTTCAGAAATAATAAAATGTCCAAAATTAGGCAGCGTAGACTTTATCTTGACTAATTTTCACCTGATATTTCATAGTAAAGGGTAAACGTTTACCTCTTTCTTACATATCGACAAGAGAAATATAAATCATTGGCTTGAATTAGGCAAAAAAGGAGTCGACTGTGGTAATTTTTGTCCATTAAGTAGTATTAGTGTAAGAAATTAGAGAGGCTAGGGAAACAAAAACAAACATTGCTTAAATTTATTTAAGATTACCAGGATTTTATTATAATAAAGGTTTTTTTGTATTTCCCAATGAATGAAAAACAAAACGATATTGTTCTACTGACGTTTCGCTATTTCAAATGCTGCTGCTAATAGCTTTATCAATGTAGTAGTATTATTAAACCAGAATTTACAGAATCCACTCAGGATATATATTTAACAACTTAATCATCGTTCCTCAGCATGGGATCGATTTTGCGTTGTCAAATTGGCCAATTAGTAAAGATAACAGAACCAGGTATATTATTATTCTTTCCTTTAGTTCCTAGAGGAACATAGGGCTTGAGCCGCACATCTCCATTGCGTTCGGTTCTCCGCTAACGTTTTCACCTGACTTCACATCTGCTCACATGCCTTCATCTCCTCTTCACATGACCTCCTCCTCCTCTATGTCACTCTCGCACTGACGACCAACTAACTCGCCACTTCCTGTTCGGGTTTTACTCGAGCGACGGCCTGTCATGTGATGTCACTTGATGGTTTGTTTTCTCAGAGTATGGTCAATCCACCTGTATTTCTTCCGGCATATTTGTCACACAGTCGGTTCCCGCTGGGTTGGTTCGTTAATTGCTAGAGATCCATGATACTCATCTTTTCTGGTTGGAGCGAAGACATCTGCTGATGAAAGTCTGTAGTCTGTTCGAAGTGATCTTCATGACGTTGCGCCAAGTCTCCGATCCGTATGGTAAGTATCACTGAATTCACACTGGAGTTGAAAATCCAGATCTTATTTTCATTTTTATGCTGAGTAGTGCTGTTTATCTCCACACAGACTTGTTGAGAGTAATGAAAGCTTGCCTTGCTTTCCCGATACTTGCTTTGATATCCTCCTCTTATTTCTCTGGCGTTTCTTGCCAAGAAGTTGTGGAACTTATTGTAATTATTTTACTTTCGAACACTGAATCTGTGGATACTATCTTGTTGACTGATAATATCTATAACTATCTGTTTGGCATTTTGTGACTGTTTAACACTAACTAATATCTATAACTGTATATATTGTTGGATTTACATGTCTAAGTCGGCCCAAGTCAGTGAGTCTATGCTTTTGATATCATTTTTGTTAACTGTATTTGACTGTGATACTACTGCTACGGTATTTTTTGTTGTTGTTGTCGCTGCCCTTCCTGTTGTGAATTTTTTCTCTTCTTGCTAGTGTTGTTCTGATTGCTTTATTCCTTGTTTTCCTGATTCTAGGCGGAGCAACCCATAAAGCCGATCCTCTGTAAACTACACATTCATGTAACAACCCCCTTCTCAGTCTTGAGGCTAGCAACCCCACCCTGTAAACAAAGTTGCTACAGAAACTTCAGCACGATGAGTCTCCTTGCGACAAACCAGATGTAGATTGTTGGACTTGATAAGTAAATAGAATTATAAAAGCAGTGTGGGTTTACATAATGAAATTGCTTATCACATCCGTGTTG